TTATCAAAAAAAAGTGCTTTTCTTTTGCATAAAAGATCGACCAGTTTCAAGGTAGTTTGTGGATGTCTCAAGTTTATTTTTATATCAAGTTATAGATCCAAGTATGGTCTTCAACGCTGGGTACGTATGGGAAAAAGTTAGGATTTGTCTGTCCTGGAAGAAAATCATAGTCAAAAATCGACTTTTTGACGAAAAGTTGATTTTTGTTAGAAATGTCTTGCACGAATGCTTCATTCTAGAAAGTTGAAACTAATGTTGTAAGTAGACATCATTAAGATGTTCTTATCTAGAAAATCTCAAGTCCCCCTCATTATCCTATCTGGAGATATGAATGGCTAAAGTTAGCTAACAAATCGATTTTTTTACTCTATAGAGAAATCCATAAAATACTAATGACTCAACCGGTGAAGCTGAAATTTTATGTACATATAGAACTTAGTTGGATATCAAGCTAAGAAAAACTTCAGCTCGAATAAGTGATGCTTTGCTGAGATATAGAGTACCAAAAATCACCATTTGTTAAGGTAGGATTTTATAGTGTTTTTCATAAAAATGGAATAAAAAATGAATGCTTCAATATTTTTTGAATCGGCTTTCGCCAAAACTCATGAAATTTTTCCTTCTATCACATATATTAAAATGAGTCAAATCCGAGAACATCGACTGAGTACCGTATCATGGAACCGATCGTGGCTTACGTGGAATGGCTCATAAGACCTTTCCTGGAAGAATACCCCTACCTGTCAGCTATCTTGTGGTATGAGGTGCTGCCTAGCGACAGATTCAATAGCTCGATATCTTTTCTACAACTACGACTAGCTGTAGCTGTGAACAGAAGACCAGCCTAACGCAGAGTTCTTGCGCTCAATGGTCTGAGCTCTTCGTACGCAGTAACTAACCACAATAGTAGATGTATGTCACTACTAGTACCTGGCGTGAGCAAGTTTTTTGGTCACAGTCACGGTCACAAAGGTTTAGTCACGGTCACGATGAGCACAAACCGTGACCGTGAGTCACGACGACTTTTCATGTTTTTATGGCCTCTTATAAAAGAGATATTTCTTATCGGAATTCAAATATATCGGTTGTGTCGATGAATATAACGTAATGTTTAGTATTTAATAATAAAATTTATCACATAAAATGAATAATTAACTATTCAATTTGAGTTCAAATAATCTTGTCGAAGAGAAATTTCACACGATTACTCACCAACGAGAATATTTCAGTGACCATTTGAAAACGGGAAAGGAAGGATAATAATGATTGAGCAAGTGTAAAGTAGATTGTTTGCATTTTGAATATTCCTTCTATTTCTAGAGCTCGATCGAGGTGATTTTTACTAAAATATTCTTTATTCAGCTCCAGTGGAAAAATGCATTCATCGTTTTACTGTGAAGTTCGAGTGTACAAATGTCATGGGATATTTCAAGAAGTACCAAAATGCAGAAAAAGCTAAACGTAGATAAATTGAAAAGCAGGCTTTTTTTAGTATTTCTTGCTGCTTTATTGTGAAATCAATTTAAAAGTAGCCGTCGTATAGGCCTTGAAAAATTCTTTTCTCTACAATCTCAAAAACAATTCAGCTAGAATTGTGACTGGAAGAATTTTATTATGCTTTGTCTATTTTTCAAAAAAATGATAACTTTTTTAGCTAATTATTTAAACCCTACGATAGAAAATGAATCCTAGTCAAAGTTGATCTATTCATATTCATTTTTTACATTTAATTCGAAAAGCAATGTTTAATTGCTATGGCTGAGTTTCTAAGTTTAAAAAACGTTATTTATTCAGTAATGCAAAAAAACGATAATTTTTATGATTTTTCGCTTGCTCGTCACCAAGCTAATCTTTGATTTGAATATTTGGATTCGAATAATTCGCACCGTATACGAAGAGCTAGAGCGTCTTCAATCCTATACAAAATTTACTAAAGTTGTGTTCTGATATTTGTGAAATCGTTTGAGAGAACTCTACTTCAGAAATTATTTCTAAAAATACACAGATTTTTTTTCTCCACTATGATACTTCTAACAATCTCTCATGATATTATACACATTCCAACTCTGCAATAATTTGGTCAATACATTTCTTGTAAGGAATCGAACTGTGAACCTTTAAGTAAACAAAATCAACATTGAATTCAAGGTAGAGAAGAAATATCAAAAATAGATATAGATTAATTTATCCTGGTCCATGTATTGTATGTCATAGGTCAATCTGACTGGGGCCAATTTAAGAGTGAAATTCATCGTGGACTGACAAAGGTGGATGTCGGAGGAGAAACTAAATTAACGCTACACCAAATCGATGAAACAGTTGACTACAAAGCTTGAATCAGTCTTCTGACGAATATCAAGCTCGGATTAGTTTTGATGTACTATAATAAGACAATCTTATTCCAGTGAATAAAATCATTAGTGAATGAATTCAGAGATAGTCCGAGAATCGATAAGTTTATTTTTAAATGCAGAATAGCAACTTTTACGGAAAGCACCTGGTCATTAATTTGACTCGTATTTCATTCGTCAAGTAACCAGTGAGTTCGTTGAAATATCAATGTTATTACAGTCTACCAAAGTAAAATTGATCTGGCTTAGTTCTCATACAAATGAAAATGATTAAATAATTTAAAATGAAGAAAACTTGAGTAATTTTTTTAAAAAGAATACTAGTATATAAGTGTCTTTTCGTCGAGTGACAACTGTAGCGAAGTGTCTACTTGAATCATGTGTTTTTAATTTAGTAATGTTTATGCAGAGTGATTGAGGTTTGAATAAGATGAATGACGTATTGAAATAAGTATAGAGCATAAAAAACCTTGGTCTTGTGAAGCATCTAATGCAGTTGACAAAAGCATACGTTATATGAAGATTTCAGCGTTCGTGACTAACCGTGCCTGACTTCCAATCACGGTCACGGTCACAGATTTTTAAAAAATATTGGTCACGGTCATATATTTTTACAAAGTATTGGTCACGGTCATATATTTTTACAAAATATTGGTCACGGTCGTGACCGTATCTGGAAGTCAGTCACGGTGAGTCACGCCGGACACTAATTGAGGTTTGCACAAAATACGTTGAGAATACGTGTCGGACAACGTAGCCACTCAGCCATGGCGGCTGACTTTTCTTGAGATCTCCCGATTTCAGTCAATTGATTTGTGATCATTCGAAAAAGCAGCTAGGTAAAGGTAACTCATCGTGCTGAATTGAACGGTGATATTTATTTTTAGGTTCGAAATGATCTGACTCTATTATATCAATATTTCTCAATTTCCACAATCATCCTCCATGTAACGAAAGAGTCGACTTTTCGGAAACATTGATATAATAGCGTCAGGTCAGTTCGAACCTAAAAATAGATATCGCCATTCGACTCAACATGATGAATTATAACTGTCTAACTATTTTTCCGGGTGATCACAGGTCAATTGACTGAAATCGAGTGGTCTCAGGAAGTCTTATAACACTCGAATGAGACAAGATAAGAATATCGGCTTTGTGCAAACCGAAAGGAAAATAGCTTCAGAATTTCGTTTTCAAAAATCTTCAGCAAGAACTTGTCTAATGAGCTAATGGCTGATTCGTCAAATTTCGACGGTCCCAGATCTTCTCTTATTTATGATAAACACTACAGGTCTGTATAAAATCCGTATCAAAAGTTATTCAAAAAGCAGTGGAGTATATTATATTTTGAGATGAATAGTAGATATTCTTTCCTTGAACTGCATAAATACAGGGATGGGCGAATTTAAGTCAGTCATTTAAAAAAGCAAAAGTTGATAATTCAATACTAAGATGAATTTTCGAAGAAACAAAATTTATATCAATCTCTGAAAAAACTTGCTGGAAAAATCATATTTGTATTCTTGCTACATCAGCATCAGCTGAACGTGTGTTTTCTCATAACGGTCTTTTAATGAGATCAGATCATTCGAACTTTCCACAAGCTAATATTTTGCTTGTAAAAAAAACTTTAAGTTTAGATTTTTGTTTATAAAAAATTGATGTTTTTTTTTTACTAAGAAAGAAAACAATTAATTTTAATGCCCTTACTTTGTTAATTAGACTATAGTAGTTGTGTCATTTTATTTTGTTTTTCGGATTGTTCTTATTTTATTTTTGTGCATAAAAACTAGGAATAAGATATTGTGTTATGAAAAGGTTATTGTTAACATACTTTATTAAAATTATCAGAAGACGAAAAAAACAACTTGACTCGCTCAATCCTTCACAAAATACTCATTCAATATTTTGACCTATTTTTGTTTTTCAAATTACAATAATTTTCAATAAAAGAAACAAGTAAAACTGATGCGATAGTGTAATGAATGAAAGTTCTAACTTCACTAAAAATTTCGTTTCATTTAGTCCAACTGTAGACTTCAGAAGACATAATAACACACTCATCAGCTAGTTAGAAAAATAGATTTTTTACAGTTTTGACAATTATAATTAGAAGATGATCAGGCTTACTAAATCAAGATTTCAGAAATCAGA